TCATTTTTGGGCTCGTCACGCTTGAGTACGGCGAAAGTCTCAGGCGGGAGCCTCGTCTGTGAGTAATTGCGAGGAAATCTCAGGCGGGAGCCCCCTCCCCATGGGGCCCGCAGCTCATGTCATTAATCCGAGCGGGCTATCGGAATATTGTAATTGTTGTCACTTTTGGGATCGTCGCGCTTGAGTATGGCGGCAGTCTCAGGCGGGAGCCTCGTCTGTGAGTAAATTGCGAGGACGTCTCAGGCGGGAGCCCCCTCCCTATGGGGCCCGTAGCTCATGTTCTTGATCCGAGCGGGCCATCGGAATCTTGTAATTGTCGTCTTTTCAAGGTCTTCAAGCTTGAGTATGGCGGCAGTCTCAGGCGGGAGCCTCGTCTGTGTGTGAATAGCGAGGAAGTCTCAGGCGCCCCCCCCCCTCCCCCCCCCATGGGGCCCACAGCTCACGTTATGAATCCAAGCGGGCCATCGGAATCTTTTAATTGTCATCACTTTTGACCTCTTCAAGCTTGAATATGGCGGAAGTCTCAGGCGGGAGCCTTGTCTGTGAGTAAATTGCCGGGAATTCTCAGGCGGGAGTCATCTCCTTGTGGGGCCCGCAGCTCATGTTATTAATCCGAGCGGGGCATCGGAATCTTGTAATTGTCGTCACTTTTGGGCTCCTGAGGCCTAGATACGGGGGAGTATCAGGCGGGGTTGTCCCAACGGCTGCGCGATGCGGCCATTCAAGAGTGCGCCCGTGCTGGCCGACGCGACGATGGCGCCGAGGAAAACCGACGCGCGCGCTTTTGTCAGGAGGAAGGAAAGGTGCACGAGGAGAACAGGCGGGGCGGAGATGAGGAAGGGGAGAAGGAGGGGAGGTGAAGGAGGAGGAAGAAAAGGACGAAGAGGAAGAAGAGTACGAGGACGAGGGGGAGGGAGAGGAGGAGGCGGAGGACGAGGAGGAAGAAGAGGAGAAGGAGCAGGCGGAAGAGCAAGATGGTAAAAAAATTCAACGAGTAGAACGGGAATGAACAGGAGGAGGAGAAGTCTGAGAAGGAGGAGGAGGAGGACGTAGATGGCAGAAGGAAGGCCTCACCCAGCGAGGGACAAGCTGAATAGATTATCGTGCGGGGTCCTACCGTCGGAGTACGTGTTCTCTCTCTCTCTCTCTCTCTCTCTCTCTCTATCTGTCTCTCTCCCTCTCTCTCTCTATGTATATATAGATATATCCCAACCTCTCTCTCTCTATATAATAGATTCATGTATCTCTCCCGGTCTTGGAATATCTACACACGCGTGTGTACAGTTGCACATATTCGCCCATATGTAGAAATACCAGGCGCCGACGTATATGGACATGCATATGGTGATGCATTTTATTAGGCCTCCTAGATGGGGTCGGAGGATCGCTCCGCATCGGCGATGTGGCTCGATGTGGAGCCCGATGTTCTCCACGCCGACGTCGCTGAAGCATCGCCGTCGTCGCCGATGCATCGTCGATGCATCGTCGATGTATCGGTGATGCATGGGCGATGGGGCGTGACCCTCCGACCCCATCTACTCGGACCCCATCTAGGAGGCTTCTAAAGCCTGAACTTCCGCCTGGAGCATCTGTGGATCCAAACACACACACACACACACACACACACACACACACACACACACACACACACACACGCACGCACACACACACACACACACACACACGCACACACACACACACACACACACACACGCACACACACACACACACACACACACACACACACACGTATGTACCCTGTAACGCCCCTCACGGGGGTAGAAACCACTTGGACCAAGTCTACTTGTTGGAGCGTCACTCTGTGGCCCAGTAGGCTTGCCGCCTCCAGTCCCCAGGCGTGCACGTTCTGTATGTTGGCTGCGCCGTTTCATTGCTCCCCTTCACGTTGCACGTGTCTCATGAAACCATATTTATCCTCTTCTCCACTCCGCTGTGTAAAGTAGATTCGAATTTGTAGTTCTGTATGATGTCGTGGTTATTGTCTAAGGTCATCATGTGTCGGCTACCGCCAAACGTCTGAACCTTTGGAGACCCCCAGGGCTTTCCTGGGGTACCCTAACCCCTTCCGGGGGCGTCCTACGCGTTCTGGGACTGTGTGAGTCATTCCTGGGATCCTCCTGGAGCGTCCTGGGAATATCCTGGAGCCTCCTGGGGTCTCCTGGAGCGCCCTGGGGCGTCCTGGAGATCCCTGGGGCCTCGTGGGACCTCGCGGGCAGCCTGGGCCTCCTCTCCCTCCCTACCTCCGGCGTGATGGACCAGGGGACCTCTGAGGGCCTTGTAGGAATCCCGATGGCCTCCTAGGACAGCGGCGTCCAGATACATATGCATGTGTATGTAGGCACACATGCATACAGATATATATGCATAAATGTTGGAAGCATGTACATACCCTGCAGCTGCGGATAAGAGTGAGAGGGCGGCGGGGACGTCGGCAGTCTGCGAGGCTCTGAAGAAGCCCGCCGCAGGCGCCTAGTTATTACACATTCTACAACGAGCCCGCCGCAGGCGCCGATATTTCGTTAAAGGAATGTGGGTGGGTCGCGGGCCAGGTCGTGGGTGGGTCGCGGGTGGGTCGCAGGCGGGTCGCGGGATGGGTCGGGGGTGGGTCGCGGGTGGGTCGCCGGTGAGTCGCGGGGTGAGTCGCGGTTGGGTCGCGGGAATGTCGCGAGTGAGTCGTGGGTGGGTCGCGGGTGGGTCGCGGCCCAGGTCGCGGGCGGGACGACGACAACAAACAAGCAACAAACAGCAAACAACAAACAACCATCACCACCAACAACAACAGCAGCTATAACAGCAGCAACAACAACAGCAAGCCGCACCGTTGAATCTCACTTGATCCACGCGCCCAGAGACAGTGAATGATTGTTCAGCCCCCTCCTTTTGATATATATATATAGTTCGATATGCAGATATCTATATATACATACATATTTAGATTATCCCAGTGCGACCCTACCTAGGAGTTGGAGCATCTAGGAAAGCAACATCTACATCTACACCGACAGCTACATCAACATCTACACCTGCATCTACATGTACATCAACATCAGCAGCGAGACTCACATCTACATATACATCTACATCTACACCTACATCTACATCTATGCTATCCTATGCTATGCTGCGCTGTGCTATGCTATGTTATGCTATGCTATGCTGCGCTATGCTATGCTATGATATGCTGTGCGATGATATGATATGCTGCGCTGTGCTATGATAAGCAATGATATGCTGTGCTATACTATGCTATGCTGCGCGATGATATGCTACGCTGAGCTATGCTATGCTTGACTATGCTATGCTATGCTGTGCTAATGCTGCGCTATGCTACGCTAAGGTAAGCCAGGCTATGCTAGGCTAAGCCAAGCTAAGCTAAGCTAAGCTAAGCTAGGTTAGGCAAAGCTAAGCTGAGCTAAGTTAAGTTAAGCTAGGCTAAGCTAAGATGAGATAAGCAACGCTAAGCTAAGGGAACGTCACTGGGGGAACCGCGGGGCGGATCCTGGGGGAACCGCCCGGGGCGTGTAACACTGCCCGGCCCTTTAAGCCAACACGGTAAGAACCTTTCGAGGCAGAGCCTAGGTAGGGAATATACGTGTATACAGATATTCACGTACTGAATGATTTCATACACGCATACCACACACGCACACACACACACACACAGCAGCGTGAAATGTGCAGTTTGCAGGCGCTGAATGTCCCTCCCCCTTTCCCAGCCCCTCCCAGCACATCCCCCTTTATCTCTTATCCGAAGCATTACGCGGAGAGATCGGCGGTTCGGTTACTTTGGATGCGGGGCGGAGCCGTTTTTGGATCATCAGCGCTCCAGCCACCTCAAGCATAACCGCCGCTTTGCCATACAACCGTTCTCGAACGACTCGCGCGAAAGATGTCCAGAGGGGGAAAGAAGGCTCAAGATCGAAAGGCCTCAGTCGACTAGGTTCTACAGAGGCCCCTTCGTCTCGTTCCATCAGCATGCCTGTGTTGTGGGTCGAGGGCGCAGTGAGAAAATTCGGAGCGTTCAGTGTTCCTGGCGAGTGGCTCCAGGAAGCTCCGATGAACATGGTTTCGCAGCTCGCGCTGCGTGTTTGGAACTTAGTGGTGCGATGCTATGGCGTGGCGTGGCCGCAACGTTGCGTTACTTGATAATCGATTGTTGGATGCCACGTGGAGCCTCCCATGGGGCATCTCGAGAGCCCCCAGCAGGGCCTCTTCGGCGCATCTTGGGGCCTGCTGGGGAACTTCGTGGGAGCCGGTCGGTGGTCTTAGGGTCACCTTGGGGGGGAAGGAAGGCGGATTTCCAAGTTTTCTTCATGGGGCCCGTTAGCGATCCCCCTTTGGTGGGTCGTTTTGTCGAGGTCCTCTTGGGGTCACGTGGGGCCTTGTAGGACCTCCTTGAGGCCATCTGCAGTTTCAAGGGCCCCAAGATGCAAGAGGGTCAATATGGCTCAAATTCTGGACGGCCCAAGACTGCTTCAGTCAGAGCCCTCCAAAGCTTCTGTCACAGGTTGACGAAATAGGATGTTATATGTCCCGCCTTCCTGTTAATTCAAGCTTCGCGCGGCCCGCTTAGCTTCGACCGGAAGAGGGGCGCTCTCGACCCGCGAATCCAAAATAAAACGTGTCCCGCCTTCCCCGCCTCAACAATGTCCAAGACAGCTGAACGAGCACCCAGCCAGGAGCAACCCGTAGAACGGCTCGAAAAACGTCACACGGCCAACTTCACGTGCCCCCGTGCCCCGGGACGCCCGCGGAGCGGAGGGCCAGCGGGCCTGAAGAATCCTCCAACTCATTTGACGTTCGAATGTCTGGGGCTTGAATATGCCTATGTTGGGGACCATGGGCACGAGGGTGCCCCAAGTCGTGCCAGAGGCACGGTGGGGCGTTCGCGCCTCTCTTTAGTGGCACTGCATTGAAGGCCGATGTCATTGTATGCGATGTTACACTTTCCTGCATCAGCTGACCTCATCTGCCCACAGGCATCAGCCAGCACGGCCAAGCAGCCAGCCCGGCCAAACCGAAGGCGCATTGTTTGCACCTTGTCGTCGTAACATGTGTTGTTGCCTCTGGCCGAGATGCAACTTATCTTCTCGAGAATGCAAGACACACAGTCGTGCCATTGGTGAGTGCAACTATGACCACATTTGTTGAAGATGAGGACGATACCTTCTGTTGGACGCACTGCCCAAGCCTGATTTTCAGGCATTGTTTCTTGACAGTCGGGGTCACTTGGGAGCCCTGGCACGGGAGAGGCGAGCAGTTCTGGCTATAGTACGGGACACGTCGTGGAAGTGGAGGCGTCGGATTGCATAAGACGGTCACGGTGTTATTGCTGCAAGACGGTCATTGGATGAAGGCGAACTAACCCATGGAGCGAGCAAGACTCTCATTGAGCTTAGCAAGACAAAATTGTATTGAAATGCTCGGCTAGACAAGACGCCCGCAGAGTTAAACGGGCGTCATACTGGATTGAATAAGACGTTCATCTGATTGAGAGGGTCCCTGGTCGGGTGGTAAATCTGCAGGGCCAGCTCCGCGACCGTTGGGAATTGCAAGCACAGCTAGGCGAAGAGGAGCAGAAGGAGAAAGAGGATCGAGGTCGATCGTTTTGGAAGTTCTTCCGCGAAGGCCTCCAGAGGTTTCCAGGGACGACCAGGGGCCAACTAGTGCATATCGCCCCCTGACACAGCCGACCCAAACTTCGACCTTGAAGTTCAGTGGTGTCGTCATCTTGGGTCTGCATCCTCAATGTGGCGCGCTTGTTTGTGGTGCAGTGAGGCCTGCTGTCGTGATGTGCAAGCTCAGAAAATGCGAGCATGCGTTGCTGAGTTCGGCGTCTTGCACGTGTATCGATTACGACCCACGTATACTGCATTGCTTGGCGCCCACCAGTCACGGAACCCAGGGTAATTTGATCTCAAGGCTTCTTGAAGGTTCAGATTGAATGATCCCCCCGAAGTCGCCCCATGTTAGGCCAATGAGGCTAACGCGGGCAAGCGACTAAAGATAATCACACTTGTCTCCTCTCCGCCCCCCCTCCATCCCTCACCGTCGCTCCCTCCCCTCCCATCCTCGCGACTTCCATCCCTACCTCCCGCCTAATCGCCTGGCTCCCTGCCTTCATGTCTTTCCTTCCTCTCCAAGCATCCCCATCCCTACCTCACTCCCCACTTCCTCTTACCCTTCCTACGTCCTCCCCTCCACTTCGACTCCCTTCGCTCCCCCCCGTGCCGGTCACTGGCGTCCACCTGGCGAGCAGCGAAAAACGGAATCCTAAGTGAGCGTACGGTGCGGCCACGAGGCAGTTGTTGGCTGCCAACGCGCGAAGACCAGCCAATTATTTGACAGGAGGTACACAAGAGCTCCTTAGTGCAAGCATTACTTGAGGACCTTCAAGAATCGAATGGAGCCAACTTGCGTGCGGAGTGGGTAAGACTAGTAAGTTCAAACGCTACAGCCGCGCAGTCTGAAGGCTTTGGGTGACGTGTCAAGTGACTCCAGTACGGGACTGGGCGTGCGTGTAGCGGGTCTGTGTGTGCGACACTGTTGAATGCGCCCGTGTTTGGACACTCCCAGCATCGATCTATCGATGTCACGGTGGGTACATATGTGTATATATATATAAGAAAAATAGATCGGTCCCACCCCCAACAAATAGATCGGTTACTCGATCTGCCAATCTACATTCAAAGTGGTGTGTCGATCTCACGATGTATGGAGTGTTGTAACTGACCATTGGTTTTATGTTCTACCTCTCGATGCCACGCTCCATCGATCTCACGACATATCAGTCGATCCAATCATTAACCTGGCATCACAACCTGCCGACCGATCTCAGCATTCATGTGTACATCTGTGCGTAGATTGCACGATGCACCGGTTCACGACCGGTATCGTTACATATCGACCGATGGCATTTCCAATATTTTGATCGATGTAACCATCTATTTCCCCACGTAATTATCGATCGGTCTCGCTATCTACCCACCGATTTCAATATACATCAGTGGGTCGCTATCCCTATCTGCCAATCGGCATCGATCAGTCTCGCAGGAAAGAAGCACGGACAACCACGGGACGACCACAGGATTACCTGGGGATAACTACGGGGAAATTTCGGGATAGCCACGCGGCAACCACAGAACAGCCACAGAGCAACATCGGCTCTTCCGGTCTTTCTATTGTTCTACGGATCTCAATAGCGATTTGTTTGTCGATAGCACAGTGTATCGATTGATCTGTCGGTCTGTCTCATTGACCATGGACCAATCCTATTGTGTGTATACATATCCCCCAAGCTGTGCTTGCACTCAGGGGTTCTCACTTCTGGTCTGAAGAACTGCGCCCGTGTATCGGTCTGGCGGCTCCGTGCCAGACGTCGCCGCCCCATCGCCGCCTCGTCGCCGCCCATCGCCAGGGCTTGTGTGTCGATCTAGCGGCTCCGTGCTGGCCGTCGCCGCCGCGTCGCCGCCTCGTCGCCGCTCGTCGTCTGGGCCTGGGTGCCGGTCTGGAGGTTCCGTGCTCGCCGTCGCTGCCCCGTCGCCGCCTCGTCGCAGGCCGTCGTTTGGGCCTGGGTATCGGTCTGTCGGCTCCGTACTCGCCGTCGCCGGCTGGTCGCCGTCTAGATTGCACAACATGAGATTGCACCACATAAGTTGCACCGCATAGATTGCATCACGCAGATCGCACCAGATAAAATTGCACATTTACATTGAATGCCTTAGATTGCACCACGCAGATTGCACAACGTCGATTGCAACACATAGATTTCGCATCACGTAGATTGCACCACATATATTGCGCGGGATAAAATGCACAGCACATATTGCATCGCATAGATATCTTCACATAGATTGTACCACATAGAGCGGTCCACAATGATTGTACAACATCGACTGCATCACGTAGATTGCACCACATATTGCTCCACAGGATTTGCACAACATAGATTGCTAGACACACATGTTGGGGGGGCCACGGTGGCTAACAGATGTGTGTATGTGTATATATGCTGGCCCTACGATCCATCGATATACGGGTATCCCTGTGTATACACTGGGTTCAGTATATATCGGTCTTACGGTCATACTAGAGGTCGACCTGCCGATGTCATTACCTACGCGTCGATCCAAACATTCACTGGTCCCACGAGCCATCTATCGACCTCACCACCCTTCGATCGATCGATATCACCATCTATCCAACAGTTCCATTATCTATCGGTGGCACAGGAAGATACACGGGCCACCACGAAACAACCTGTGAAACAATCCGCGGGACATCCACGGGGAAGCCATGGGATAACCAGCGGACAACCACGCGGCAACCACGCGACAACCCCGCGGCAATTGCCGCACCACCGCGGGACAACCGCGGGATAACCACGAGACAACCACGGGACAACCACCGGGACAACCACGGCACTCCCGTGACAACCCACGGGGCAAACCCAGAAGTACCCTGGGACAGCCCAGACCCCCCTGGCGCGCGCACGGGGCCGAGGCAATCTGACGTGAACCATCCCTGTCTCGGGCACGATCTCTCTCGCTCTCGCGCAGCTTCGCCTCGCCCGCCAGCGAGTCACGCACGACGCGAAGCGACATCAACATCGATGTCCGTGTCATTCCGATTTACCACCCCCCACTTTTCAATAACGAGTGGCCCAACTCCAGAGCCATTTTGGCTCAGGCCGTTCTTGCCCAGCACCTCGACAATGCGTATCTGCTCTGCCCGCGTTCTAGATGCATTATGCTCCACGCTCAAACCATTTGTGGGTAACTACTTCAGTGGCTACGTGACCTTTTCAAGGGCTGGGGCTGACTAGAAACTGAGCGCGCGCGAAGCGCCCGAACGGTTCTAGTCGACAACGATTGGCCCAACTCCGCAGCCGTTTTGGCTCAGGCCGTTTTTACCCAGCACCTCGACAGACCGACTCCTCCCCCCCACCCCAGAGCAGATGGCCGTGTGCGCGGACCCCCCGCCGCCGCGCGGCGCCACCTGGGCCGCGGAGGGGTGCGCGGACGCCCCCCCGATGCTCGGGGCGCAGCAGCCAGGACCCCGGCGCAAGAGCGTCACTTTCGACACGGCTCCGGAGTGCTTCGCCCCGTGCGCCGCCACCACCCGCGCCGAGGGGGAGCTCGCCCAGGAGTCTGACAGTGACGTGAGCATGGTCTCTTCGGTGGCGAGCAGAGTCCAGCTGGGAGCTCCGGAGGACTTTCAAGACAGCGCGGCATCGACTACGTCTAGCATGTGTGGCGACTCCGATGTGCACGTTGGCTCGGAGCAACTGGAGGACGCTGTTGAATTGGCAGAGATCGAGGCATTCGCTGACGACCAGGCCCAGCGGTTCATACCCTTGATAGACAAGCGGCATGCGCGCCGGACGGCCACAACGAGCGTGGGCCGCACGAAGCAGGTAAGCAGCATCAATTTCCAGATGAAGACTTCCGCCCTGTGGCAGCGCAGGGCAGTGACTGAGAGTGGCCCGGATGCCCCCAGCCGTGTGCATTGCGCGGTTCGGGGGGCTGCCAGGTGAGCGCGCATTCGGGATATAGTCAACCCGCGTGGTAAGGATGGGCGACCTTCCCGAGGGCGCCCTTGCATCCTTGCCTCCTCGGCCCATCCTTGGCCATTTTCGTTGGCCGCGCCCCGCTCGAGAAGCTTCGAAATGGCCTTCCGAGGCCCTTGCATCCTTGTCGCGCATCCTTATGATACGGGTTGACTGTGGGAAGTTTTCTCCCCGAGCCTGACGCCTTCTTGCCGCGCGTTGTTTCAGGTTCTTGCCCGGCGGGCAAAGGCCCAAGGGACAGACCGAGTAGTTCGCTTCGGGGTACACCCACTCCTGCGCGGCCCTGCGCATGGCACGGGACTGCGCGGCTGGTCTGTCAGAGAGGGCCCCTGGGGCTTTAGGAATCGATCGCACAATTCATCCCGCTTGCGAAGGTAAGCGCACAACAGCAGCATCCATTTGTCCCCCAAACAGTGCTTGAGCTTAGGGGGATTTGCTCGTTTTGCGAGCAAATTTCCACAATGCAATGACCTACTGTTTTGGGCCCTTCGCTGGCTAACACTCTTTGAAGATGCTCGTCAGCACGCAGCCCTGGATGTGACTGCAGCTTGTCTGAAGCACGCAGCCCTGAAGAGTCTCGTCAGCACGCAGCCCGCTAGGATTCAAAGTGTTGGAAGCATTGCTTTAGCGAGTAGAGCTTGCGATGCAGGGCCGCCCGAGCCTCCTGGCTGCAACTCTTGCGGTCGGAGTCCCCTCCAGGATGGGGCACGAATGATCAATTTGGGTAGTTCTCGACAGCCAAATTTGTACCAAGTCCCACAGTTGAATGAGACTTGGGGTGCCGAAGCACCCGAGAGCAGCAGGTTCGGTTTAATATGATAATGTTGCGCCGCAGCTTCGGAGTTCACTAGCTGCTGTCAGCGCAAGAGCTGCTGGCAGCGAACCAGGCCGCCACGTCAGCGCAACATTGAAAATATTCGGGGCACGTGGGAAGCATCACTAAGATTTCCTTGCATGATCTAGATCGGTGACCGTCAGGTTATCCACATCCCTACGGCTGCCTCCAACTCTAGACGCCACGTGGGCATGGCATAGATGATAACAACTTCGCTCCAGAGGCCCGATTTTCACTGTAAGCCCCACTTTTGCCTCTTCGCTCTTCGAGGCGTTCGAAGGATAGAACACCGATCGCCCAACAGATGCTAGATGTTGCACCGCCCTGACATGTGCTGAAGCACAGTCTTTGGTAGCACTCTACTCTGCTGGTGCACGGCAGACAACGGAGCCTCGCTCTGCCTTTTCTTCATCGCCCCTTCCCTTCCCACACCCACCCGCTCTACTCCGACTCCTCCTCGCCCTCCCCCCTTGCTCTCCCGCTCCCGCGGCGCGCCGCCCAAGACCGGGCAGGGCGCCCCGCGCACGGGCCTCCTGCCTTCGCTCCCCCCTCCCGGCCCGCGGGGGCCTCGACGCGGTCACCGGCGCCGCTGACACGCTGCCACTTGCTGCGAGGCTCAAGAGCATGCACCACCACCGCCTCCCTCCACCCCCCCCCCTCCCAGGGCAGAGGAGCGGAGGAGGAGGGCAGAGGAGAGAGGAGGACCAGGGGTGGTGGTGGCGTACATGCTCTTGGGGCCCGCACCTGCGCGAGCTCGGCGGCCGCCCTGCCTGTGGCGAGTGCGGGGCACCCCCCTGGCACCGCGCGGCGCTCTCGCGCGCGTCTCGGGACGGGCTCGGGCGCCCGCGGCCCCACCTTTTGCCGTGGCCGCGGGCGGCCCTGCGAGCGGAGGCGCCAGTGCTGCTCGCAGGAGGCACGGAGGAGCTTCGGCTCGCAGGGCTGCGATCTGTGCAGCGCGGCTTGGCGCAGCGGCCCGCAGCCTGGCGCGTGCCAGAGCGCTGCTCCCTGCTTTCGTCCTCTTGCGGTGACGAGGGCAGGCCGACGTCTGGCGTCGGCGGCATCCTGGTTCTTTTCCCCCCTCGTCCTCCTCCGCTTCCTCCTCCTCCTCCTCCTCTTCCTCCTCCTTTCCCTCCTCCTCCTCCTCCTCCTCATCTTCCCCCTCCCCCTCCTCGTCCTCCTTCTCCTCCTGCTCCTCCTCCGCCTCCTCCTCCTGCTCGTCCTCCATTCCTTATCCTCCCTATAAATAACTTCTCCCTGTCGCACCCCGAGGCTGGTCGAAAGGGCGGGGTGGGCGTTTCGCCTGAGACTTCGCCACCACTATGACCCTGAAACTCAAAAATTGACAACAATCTCAGAGATGGAGGGCCGCGCACAATTCGTTTCAAAAATTGTAACAGTTTCAAGTTTCACGGATTCAGGGCGGCTCGTTTTCAAAATGTGGTTCTCGCCTTAGCGCCGTGCACATTCGTTTTAAATAGTCGCAAGAGCTTCACGGATTCAGGGCGGGTCGTTTTCAACATGTGGTTCTCGCTTTAGCGCCGCGCACATTCCTGTTGTAAACATGTGCAAGAGATTCACAGATTCAGGGCGGCTTGTTTTCAAAATGTGGTTCTTGCCTCAGCGCTGCGCACATTCTTTTTAGTTTGCAAGAGTCTCACAAATTCCCATGATCAACGTACCAGAATTGGCGTTCTGGAAAGATTCAGGATTATGAGGGTGCAACAGTTACGTTGATTCGCGGTGTTGAAGTCCCAGGAATGGCGGTCTGACACGGTTCAGGATCGTCAAACCACAACAGTCAGTTTGATCCGTGGCGTTGGAGTCCCGAGAGTTATATTTTGGCATGCTTCAGGGTCTTCAAACGGTTGTTTTCCAACGAGGCAGTTCTTTCAGTGGAAATGAACCGTCGCAGGGGCCTATGAAGAGGGAGCTTGGAGGGAACGTTCATTCCAACATCGTTGATGACTCTTGGGTTTACACTGGTCCTCCTCCTCCTCCTCCTTCTCCTCCTCCTCCCTACGAAAAAGAAGATTGGCGTCGGATTTGCTGGCTCTCCTCCTCAGCTCGCGGGTCTACGGTCTGCGGCGCGGCTTGGTGCGGCGGCCTGCAGAGCTGCGTGCGCACAATTGCAATGATTCTCGCTGTTGTTGTTTTTTTCTATCGATTTTGCTGGGGGCTCCATCGCCAGAATATGTCCGCATCCACCGTTTCGGAGTCGTGCCCCGCAGATCTCCAAGGGTGGGCGGGCAAGTATCCAGATCCACTGCTCCCCGAGTCCCTGGGACACGGCCCCGCGGCAGTGGATATGGGCACATCCTGGCGGCGCAGGTGCTGGGTCGAGACCTTGGACCGACTTCACGAACAAATGGTACCGTCGGACCTGTTGGCCCTCCTTCTCGAGGCTCGCGGGTCTGTGGTCTGCGGCGCGGCCTGGTGCGGCGGCCGACACGCGGGGTAGCATTGCGCTGTTTTTGTCGGCTCGGTTTGCAGAGCAGGAGAAGCGCTGTGCTTCGACACGTTGGGCGGTGGTCTGCGGCGCGGCGTCAAGCGCGGCGGCCGACGACCCAGACCCCCGCGGGTCATTACAGGATCCTGGCGAAGGGCCCAGCCATGTGCAGCTGTGGGTCATGCAGTTGTGAGTCTTGCCTTCGGTGGAGCTCCGTATGAGGCCACGAAGCGTGTGAGGAGTATGCCGGAAAGGGCGCGGTGAGCGCATGCGAACGCAGCCGCGGGGGCCTTCGGTGGGATTCCCGAGGGGGCACGAAACGCGTGAGGGGTGTGCCGACATGGGTGGGCGGACGCATGCGAACGCAGCCACTGGGGCCTTCGGTGGAGCTCCTTATGGGGACACGAAACGTGCGAGGGATGTACCGAAATGGGCGGCGCGGCAGGCGCATGCGAACACCACTGGAGTCTTTTGTGGCGCTCCTTTGGGTGCCTCGAAATTCTGACTGGCGAGCCGAAAATACTTGGAGCGGACGCCTGCGAACGCAGCCACTAGGGCCTTCGGTGGCGCTCCCTATGGGGCCACGAAACGTGCGAGATGTGTGCCGAAATAGGCGAGGCAGGCGCATGCAAACACCGCCACTGCGGCCTTCGGTGGAGCTCCCTTTCGGGCCACTAAACGTGTGAAGAGTGTGCCGAAATGGGTGCGGCGGGCGCGTGCGAACGCAGCCATTGCGGCCTTCGGTGGAGCTCCCTATGGGGCCACGAACTGTATGAGGGGTGTGCCAGATGGGGGCGGCGGGCACATGCGAACGCAGCCACTGGGGCCTTCGGTGGAGCTCCATATCGGGCCACGAAACGTGCGGAGGGTGTGGCGAAATTTCGCGCGGTGGGCGCATGCGAACGCAGCCACCGCAGCTGTCGGTAGAGCTCCCTATGGGGCCATAAAATATGTGAAGAGTGTGCCGACAAGGGTGCAGCGCGCGCGCATGCGAACGCAGCCACTGGGGCCTTCGGTGGAGCTCCTTATGGTGTCGCGAAACGCGGGAGGGGTGTGCCGACAATGGTACGGCGGGCGCATGCGAACGGGGCCGTCGGTGGAGCTCCTTGCCGGGCCACGAAACGTGTGCGGGGTGTGCCGAAATGGGCGCGGCGGGCGCATGCGAATGCCGCTATTGAGGCCTTTGGTGGAGCTCCCCATGGGGCTGGGTGCGGCGGGCGCATGCGAACGCAGCGACTGGGGCCGTCGGTGGATCTCCTTATGGGCAAACGCAACGTGTGAGGTGTGTGCCAACGTGGCGGCGAGCAAGCGCATGCGAACGCAGCCATTGGGGCCTTCGGTGGAATTTCCTACGGGGCCACGAAACGTGTGAGAGTGTACCGAATTGGGTGTAACGAACGCATGCGAACGTAGCCATGGGGGCCGTCGGTGGCGCTCCCTATGGGGCCACGAAACGTATGAGGGTGTGCCGACATGGGTGCGGCGGGCACATGCAAACGCAGCCATTGCAGCCTTCGGTGCAGCTCCCTATCGGGCCACGAAACGTGTGAAGGGTGTGCCGGAATGGGTGCGGCGGGCGCGTGCGAACGCAGCCAATGGGGCCTTCGGCGGAGCTCTTCATCGTGCTGCGAAACGCGGGAGGGGTGTACCGACAATGCGGCGGGCGCATGATGAACGGGGCCGTCGGTGGAGCTCATTGCCAGGCCACGAAACGTGTGAAGGGTGTGCCGAAATGGTTGCGGCGGGCGGATGAGAACGCCGCCATTGGGTCTTTTGGTGGAATTCCCAATGGGGCCACGAAACGTATGAGGGTGTGCCGCAATGGGCGCGGCGGGCACATGCTAACGCAACCATTGCGGCCTTCGATGCAGCTCCCTATCGGGCCACTAAACGTGTGAAGAGTGTGCAGGAATGGGTGCGGCGGGCGCATGCGAACGCAGCCATTGGGGCCTTCGGCGGAGCTCCTCATCGTGCCGCGAGACGCGGGAGGGGTGTGCCGACAAGGGTGCGGCGAGCGCATGCGAACGGGGCCGTCGGTGGAGCTCCTTGCTGGGCCACGAAACGTGTGAGGGCTGTGCCGAAATGGGCGCGGCGGGCGCATGCGAATGCCGCTATTGAGGCCTTTGGTGAAGCTCCCTATGGGGCTGGGTGCGGCGGGCGCATGCGAACGCAGCGACTGGGGCCGTCGGTGGAGCTCCTTATGGGCAAACGCAACGTGTGAGGTGTGTGCCAACAAGGACGCGGCGAGCAAGCGCATGCGAACGCAGTCATTAGGGCCTTCAGTAGAACTTCCTACGGGGCCACGAAAAGTGTGAGAGCGTGCCGAAATGGTTGCGGCGGGCGGATGAGAACGTAGCCATGTTGGCCTTCGGTGGAGCTCCCTATGTGGCCACGAAACGTATGAGGGTGTGCCGCAATGGGCGCGGCGGGCACATGCGAACGCAGCCACTGCGGCCTTCGGTGCAGCTCCCTATGGGGCCACGAAACGTGTGAGGGGTGTGCCGTAATGGGCGCGGCGGGCGCATACGAACGCAGCCATTGCGGCCCTCGGTGGATCTCCTTAGGGGGCCACGAACTGTATGAGGGATGAGCCGACATGAGTGCGGCGGTACCATGTGAGCGCTGGCATTTGGGCCTACGGTGAAGCTTCGTATTGCACCACGAAGCGTGTAAGGGGTGGGCCGAAACGGGGACATGCAGAGGGCAGAGGCAAGGAGAGGGAGGAGGGAGGAGGGGGACGAGGAGGAGGAAGGAACGCGGGGCGCTGCCTCTTCAAAATGAGGACCCAGCACCACAAGATCCCTGGAAACAAACATTCGACGTTATGAAAAATCATGACGTCGGGGGTCTGGGAACCTTGCGTGCCCAAGATCTGGTTTCTGACAATCGGCATGCCAAGCAGGGTGAATGGAAGGGCTTCCCGCGCGGGGGGGCGGCTGGCGGCGCGGCTTGGTGCGGCGGCCAAGACCTTGCGCGCAGGCCTCCTGGGAGATGTCCCAGCTCTGCTTGGCTCCGATGGACTTGCTTTGCCGAGGCATCGCATAAAACGCCTCCTGGTTGTTAAGGCCAGGCGTGTTAGCGGCCAGGCTGAGATCGATGGCGCGCGCCATCTCGCCACTGTTTCCTTGCTGGCCAGCGGGGTGCGAAGCGCCCCTCCGTGCCGCCGTCCCTTGGCACAGTCGATTGGCGCCAGAGACGGCCCCCAGAGTCGACGGGGCGCCCGTCGTTTTAGTCGTCGTCATCAGCATCATCATCATCGTCATCAGCGTCGTCACTCATCATCAGCATCATCATCGTTAATATCGTTAACATCATCATCACCATCATCATCATCATCATCATCATCATCATCATCATCATCATCATCGTCATCGTCATCGTCATCGTCATCGTCATCGCCAGCATCATCAGCATCAGCATCAGCATCATCGTCATCATCGTCGTCGTCGCCCTCCTCCTCCTCATCCTTGACCACAGGGGTGCGGTCTGCTGTGCGGCTTGGTGTGGCGACCGACAGCCCTGCGCGGCAGTGAGGCACTGCGATGCTGTAGCCCCTCTTTCTCATCCCGTCACTCACGAGCGACGAACACACCATCAAACAGCCCAGCACAGCCAACGAGGTCCCCGATTCATCCCTGTCCAAGTTTGTCCCTGTCCTGGTTTCGTCTCCTCTTCCACAGGGGCGCGCCTGCACCGCGCGCCGCAGCGGCTGCCGCGCGGCCAATTAGGGAGCCACATGCG